CAGACAGGGTGATGCTACCAAAAACCCAAACCCGTTGCAGTGGAGGCGGTTCCGACTGCCCCATAGAGTTTTCAAGGAGCGGCGGGTGGATTCGAACTGCCGACCTTTTGGTCAGCAGCCATATCACTTAACCACTGTGCCACCAGGTCTCCAGAGTGATGCTGGAAGGGTTTAATACCAGACGGTTCTCAGGCTGGGACAGGTGAGGTTGCTCAGAGTCAGGGGAGTGTAGGGTCTCCCCAAACCCAACACACATGTATACTGGCCTCTGTCCACACACACACATATGCACACACACACCCCTTTCCCTCCACACACTACCACATTTCAAAACTCCTGGAGCCCGTTCAGAATCTGCCCAATGGTGCCTCAGACTCCTCAGCCTCTGTGAGAGAAGACACCAGCCGAGTGAGGGGAGGGGGATGGTTCGCCCCATGGCACCCTCTTGTCCTCAGTCAGGAGGACAGCATGAGTGGCCTGGATGAAGGGAGATCTACAAATGTTCCCCCAAAACGTTTCCCCACTGACAAGAAGGCTGGGTTTGGGGGACATGGGGAAGGGAGACCAGCAGCCCTCTCCCACAACACGCATCATCCCACACCGCCATTCTGCACTCACGGCCTCTCTCTCGCCTCACTCGCTCCTTGCAGGTGGGACCCCCCTCACGTACCCCTGTGACCCAGGTCCTACCTCAGTGAGAGCAGAGACTACCGATCAGTTATGAGAGGCGCACAGCAAGGGGATTGACTGTGTGGCTTGAAGCCAGCCTGCCTGGGTTCACATCCCGGCTCTGCCACTTCCCAGCTGTGTGACTTTGGGCAAGTCACTTCACCTCTCCTTGCCTCAATTTCACATCAATAAAATGGGAATGATGATAAGACCTACCTCACAGACTGTGGTGGGAATCAACTGCGTACCACCTAAAGCATTTAGAAGAGGGCCTGGCACAGGGTAAGCACAATATAAGCATTTGCTGTAGTTATTGACAGAATTATTAGCAGTATTATCTAAAACACCATGTCCATCCTAAACTAATCATTACCAAGCTCATACTTCACTCTGGAGTCCAGCGAAGGCATTAGTAGCGGAGCGAACAGGAACTCTCTCTCTCTCACACACACACACAACGTCCTCCGTGTACCAGGCACCGTGCCAGCGCTTTACATGTGTTATCACATTCGAGCTTTCCCAAGTCCCTGAGAGCTCTAGAATCTCCCACTGTGCGTTAGAGGCAACAGGCTCGGAGAGGCTCGGTGGCTGGCTCTAAGTCACACAGCAGCAAAGGACTGGAATCCTAACTCAGATCTGGGGGCCTCCAAACTCCCTGCTCTTTCCACAGGACCCTCTGTCCCCCAAGGAGTAGCGAATGTGGCAGGTGGGGCCACAGATGTCCTTCCCGTGTGTTCCTGGTCGCAGTTTCGGGACACTGGCTGATGCAGAATTTCAGCCCTGCTTCTGAGCTCGCCTGCAAAGCTGCAAGGACATCTGTCTCTGAGCTCTGAACTCTTTGTAGGGAAGACACCACATAAATAAATAAATAAGTAGAACAGTCCAGCTAAGCTGAAATGCTCTCCTCAGAGGGGAAGGGAAATAAAATTTGATGAACCTCCGCGTAACGTTCAAGTTATGAACGTGTGAAATAACATTCTGCACATATGCTGGGAAGCATTCACCTTCTCCCATACCACCGGGGCCTGAGCAGTGAGGGACCATGCAGATTGGGGCACCACAAATGGCAACTTCCTGTTGGAGGGGTACAGAGAGGTTGTAGTCTACCTCAGCAATGCAAGGTGCATTTTGCCCACAGATGCCCAAGAAGGTGCATCTCCTGAAGCCAAGGTGACAACTGACCACAGGGTTACTTGAGCAGTATTAGGCATCGGGCTGTTCATATTCCTGCAATAAACATTTACTGAGCACCTACTATGGGCCCTGGGCTACGCGACCTTCCCGGTAAATGTGCCCTCTCCACACCTCGGGTGAGGCAGACAATCCCGACCTCCCAGCAACAGCTGATTGCACATTTACCTACATGGGGCACGGTCTCTCTCCCAGGACTTTGGAATGGGGTGCTGGGAGACCTGAATCTGTTAGATGATGACAGGGGCTGGAGCTGAAAGGGTATGAGGGAGTCAGGGTGGAAATCCCCAAAGAGAAAACTCAGCCAATCACCAAAAATCATTTAATGAGCACCTACTATGTCCCTGTAGGGGGCCAACGAGGGCAAGGGAGAGCTGGTGAGACGGTTGGCACAACAACCTCAACAATGGGCTCCAACACAGCAGCAATCATGACAATGATGCAGGACTGAGCAACGTTTCATTGTTGTACATCAGGCTGCCGTGAGGCAGAGATGACTTGAGAGCAGCTATCTATCTGTCTGTCTGTCTGTCTATCTAGTGCCTAGCACTGCTCTAGGTGCTCGGGACAGACTGGGGAACAAGACAACCAAGGCCTTCTATCATGGAGCTCACAGTCAACAAACAATAAACTAGCAAACAAGCAGAACAATGTCAGGTTGAATTAAATGCTATGAAAATATAGCAGTGGGATAAAAAGGGATGAGGACAGGGTGGTGGGAGGGTGCAGATTTAGACCAAGTGACTAAGGAGGGTGTCACTGAGCAGGGGGCATCTGAGCTGAGACAGGAGTGCAGCAGCCTTGCGATGGTCTGAAGGAAGAGTGTTTCAGACAAGGTTCACAGCAAGTGCAAGGGCCCTGAGGCAGGAATGAGCTTGGAGCGCTCAAGGAACACAAAAAAGGCCCACGTGGCAGAGGAGAGACGGCGGGTCTGTAATAGTCAGAGTGTGGCCCCAGCAGCCCTACCACCTGACTCCTCTGCTTGATGCCCTTCCTCGTGCCCCAGGGAGAGGCCAATTCTTCAGCACTGCCCAGCTCTGCAGCCGCCTTTCTCCCTTTTCGTTCTCAGACTCTGACCTTCATCGTCCTGAAAGCTTTTCAGTTCCCTGCCACTGAAAGGCATTAGTGTATGTCTAATTCTGGTTCCCTGGAAGCAGACCCTGTGATATGGTCATTTGTTTGGGAGGTGGTCCCAGGTTTCTTCTGAGGGTGACTGGGCTGGATCCACTGGAGACCTCTGGGAGGACAGCATGCCTCAGTGCTGTCTCATCCAGGGGCTGGGGAAGCTAGGGTCCTCATCTACCAACTTCCACCAGCTGATGGTTGAGGGCTGCTCCTGGGAGCATCAATGCCCTGGAGCCCCAGTGAGCCCACGTGTAGACAGACACTCCTGGGTCAGAGAGAGCCCTCAGGCTGAGAGTCACGTGCACTGCATTAAGAAGCCCCAGCCTGCACGAGAACCCAAGTGCTGAGCAAACACGGGCAGGCACAGCAGCATCTGTGTGGACTCTAGCTGGACTGTCCACGTTTGCTTCTGCCTCTGCCTCTTCTGTCTGGCTGGCCTGCCTCTGCCTCTCCTATCTGGGTGGCCTGATCGCTAGGGGCACTGCCAGCTCTGACTTTCTTCATTTCTGGTAAGAGCCATGCAGACCTGGGTCCTAACTCCCCCTCCGGCACTGTGTAACCTTAAGTAAGTGTCTTAACTTCTCTGAGCCTAAGATTTCCTCATCTGTCAAATGAGGCTAATATACTAACTGCATAGGGCATTGCTGATTAAATTAAGTGCATCGGGCACAGGTCCTGGTACACAAGGAGTCCTAAACAGATGTTGGTTGTGATGGTTGACTCTGGCCTAGGGCTGTTGTCCCATCTCTTCCATTCCAGGAAAAAAAGCTGAGAGCATGGGGGCTCCAGGCCCAGATATACCATTCTCCAGGGATAGTGGCCCAGGATGGACAGGCTAGGGTATGGCCAGGACGAAAGTCAGCACAACGCTGCCCCGCCTCTGCTGCCACCAACTGAGACAGGCCTGGGAGGCAGATGGAGCTCAGTTAGAGCAGCATATGCTGTGACGATGTGGGGCCTGCTATCCACAAAGGCACATCTGCTCTGGGGATGCAGGGTGTTCTGGAGGGCTGAGAAGTGACCAGGCCCAGCAGCCACCCCTCAGCCCAGAAGAGAGTAGAGCAGCTAAAGGGGTGCAGGTTGGAGCCAGACTGGGGAGCAGTCCAAGGTGGCTAGCCCATAAGAGCACTTTTGGATGGATCCAGGAGGACAGGAGCAGAGAGTGAGGCAGATACAGCAGGACCATTGGGAGGGAGGAAGGAAGGGCTCAGGAAGCCCAGGTCTTCGGCTGATGATGCTCTGAGTAGCTTCATCAGTAAAAGGTGTCTGGGAGGAGTTCTGCCTAAGGGTAACTTCATCTTCTGAAATCCTGCCATCCAGTCATCCAGCCATCCGTCTGTCCTTTCACTCGTCCGTCCGTCTGTCCATCCGTCCATCCATCCGTCCATCCACCCATCCACCCATCCACCCAGCCAGCTAGCCATCTACCCAGCCATCTATCCATTAATCTATCTACCCACTCATCCACTCCTCTACCCACCTATGTATTTTCCCATCCATCCATCCATCTATCTATCATTTATTGTCACCTCCTCTATTCCCAGCTGGACTCTGAGGACTTAGGTGATCAGATGCGGTTACTAACCTTGAGGAGCCCTCCTCCTTTATCAGCCATCACCAATCCCAGTGCTGGGTTCTTTTTACACTCAGTGCTGTGACAGGGCCCAAGAAGGATACCTTGGTTCAGCCTCTTTATGCTTCTGTCATAGTCCTAAGAAGCATAGTGCCAAATGGCAAACACTCCAACTTAGTTCCCTTCTGGGTTTCTCAGGCCTCTGATCACACAAGCCCAAGGCAACCTCATGCCCCACAAAATATTAAAATGTCCCAAATATTGCAACCTAGTGTTGTCCAAACTCCACCTTACCCAGCCTGCATCTTCCTCCCCACCATTCCCCAGAAAACCTTTGTCAGACCACTCACTCTACTTTTCGGCTGGGGCCCTGTAGCCACGGAGGCCAGGCCTTGGCTTCAGATTCCCAGTGGTGGCTGGAGGTGACCCCGTGTGCACTGACCTCTCCCGGAAGTACTTGATGGCCTCAGGGTCTATGAAGGTCGGCTCCTCCCGGTAGCCCTGCTCAAAGACTTTGCGCTTGTGCCGGAACTCAATGACCGTCTTGGTGTAGGAGTTGAGCGTGGTGACAGAGGCTGCCATGCAGCAGGTAAAGGAGCCCCACGCCAGGCTGCCAAGAGATCAGGAGAGAGACGCCACAGTGAGGGTGGGCAGGGGATGGAAAATCTCCTACCCACCAAACCTTTATCCATCCCTGCATGGCTGCCTCCCGGGGAGGACCCTGAGCAGGTGCTGCAGTACAGTAGAGTAAGACCTGGTTTCTGTCCCACTCAGTCTGGTCTGGGAGACAGAATCGTCTGTACACTGTGATGCTGATATGACAAGAGTTCATTATTTGGAGGCAAGAAGAGAGCGAGTCATTTCACCCGAGGGGGCTGGCATCAGGAAGAGTTACACGGCATACAAAAATGCTTACACTGGGTCTTGCAGGATAGGTGAGTGTTTGCCGGGGGAAAGGGCATTCCAGGAAAAAGAAACAGCACACACAAAGGCACGAACCGAAGGGAGCATCCCACACTGTAGGAGGCGTGGGATGCTAGAGAGAAAAATGCATGAGATTAGGTGGAGTTGATGATGGAGGAGTCGAGAGGACCAGACACCCTAAAAGCTGGTTTTTCGTGAGCCCTGGTGGCATAGTGGTTAAGAGCTTGGCTGTTAACCAAAAGGTTGGCAGTTCAAATCCACCAGCCCTTCCTTGGAAACCCTATAGGGAAATCCTATATGGTCACTGTGATTCAGAGCCCACTCGATGGCACCTAACAACAACAAATTACTTTTGTTCATGTGTGACCTTGGGCAAGATGCTTAACCTCTCTGCCTCATAGTCCTCATGTCCACTGGAAAATGGACATAATAATAGGGTTGTTGCATGGGTGAAAGGAGATGATTCATTAAAAATATCTTAGAACAGTGCCTGGCACTTAGTAGGCACTCAGGAAAGTTTGCTGTCATTAGTATCATCACTATTGTTATTAACATTTTCACTACCCACTTCTCTATGACTTGGTTTCCAAGCTCTCCCTCTGGGAGATTAAGTTACAATAACCTGTTGGCTTGCTCCTCCACACTGTCTTTCTCCACAGCTGGGGACTCTTAGCTATGCTTATCCGATGTCTATGCTGAGCCAGGCCAATGCTGGAGACTCTGACTTGTCCACATCTGGAAAGAAGGGAAGGGTAGGTGTGGAGTGAGGAGACTCAGCCAGCCAGGTGCTAGTCCTTCTGTAACCATTACTGTTCTAGAAATGGCCTCCTGCCTGATTCCTTTGGCCAAGACTGTGCAGTAACATTTAGTACCAGAAATGGGGCACACGCCTTGCTCCAGCTACACCTGGTCTGTATCTGGGTCTCTGTACCCTGGACTTTGCCTTGCTACCTGGCTTCCTCCAAATCAAGGGCTCAGTTTTGCTGTTGCCAGCCCTGCACGGTCTCAGAGCCTCAGGCCTCCCTGCTGCCTGCCCACCCATCCGGCCTCTGAACATCACTGTCCTTGCATTCCCAATGGTAAGGTGCAGCCCACCTCTTGCACCCACTACTCTTCTCTCTGTCAGGCTCCGGGTACCCTAGAAGGGAAACAAGGAAACCTGAGTATTTAGCATTTCTCAAAGGCACCCTCAAGAATCATCTATTTCCTTTAGTGGAAAACCCACTAGTGAAGAGATTCTCTGATTTTTTTATGATAAGGAGCTAATTTAGATCTTCCAGAAGCCCTGAGTGTCTGTAAGAGACAGCTTTGGAGTGTGGGCCTGGCCCCTCTAAGAATTGCCCCGTCCACTAAAGGGTCCACTATGTAACTGCACCTCCTTGACCACAGATGACCAAGGGCTGAACATCTGACCAAAGTGGGTCCAATCAGACACTCTTTTCTGAGCAACAAAGGAGAACGTCCTAGTTTCATCTGTGATGTCTGTTTGAATTAGCCCAATGGGAACTTGGAACTTGAGTATAGGGAATGAAGAAGCAAGTCTTTTCTGGGATTCCATGAGTACATCTACTGGGATGCTTTGACCAGCATCCATTCATCCTTCTGGTAGCAGCACCCCAATTCTAAAGTGATCATTTCTTCTCTCCTCTCAGGCCATGTAATTTGGTGGGTCTTGCCCCACTCCCAAATTTTAGGGGTGAGCACATGACCTAGGTTTGGCCAATGAGAGTGTTGTTTCCTTCTGGCGATGGTAACTGGTTCAGGAATGGGCATGTGACCCAAGTCAGGATGAGACTCAATCCTAAGACTTTTGCCGAAGCTCATCTTTCTTCTGCGTTGTTAAGCTGGTGAGATTTCAGCCAGGAGCATGCTGGGGACCAATTTGCTACCACCTGGCCTGAGAATAATGCTGACCTAAAGGGAAGCAGAGTCATGAAAAGGAGCTAGATCCCTAAGCTAAAACCTTTATCCCTGGACTTTTTAATTATGGGAGCCCGTAATTCCTCTTTTGGTTATATATATTTTTTTCTTCAGGGTTTCCATCATCTGCAAGAAATGTTCATATACAATTATTTTCTATAAATTCCCTTCTTTTTCATGGTAGTTTTGAAGTGAGTCTTTACTACTAGGGATCTTAACTATGACCAGGTCTGATTCCCAACCTAAAGGATGGAGCAGAGGCTTTCTAAACGCTCAAATTAAAGACCCAGCAAAGTCAAAAAACCTGCAGTAATGGTGAAGTTCAATGACCCAGTGGGGAGGGGGGAGTTCCTGGGAAAGGTACGGAGTCACTAGCCCAAGGGCTCCAGAACAGGTGCTGAAGGTATGGAGCAGAGAGGCCACTGCTGGACAGGCAAAAGAAGAGGCAGACCTGGAAGGAATGTCCACATCCCTGCCTTTCCATCTGTTTAGATGCAGGACCTTTTGTTCAAATGAAATGTTACCCTGAGCTTGCTCCCTCTGGCTCCCCACCCTCCAGTCACATGGCCTCCTTTCTACTCCTCAAACACAAGACTCACCCCCACCTCAGCCTTGGATCCTTGGACTTGTTATTTTCTCAGTTTTCCCAGGCTCTTTGCCGGGCTGGTTCCTTCTCACCCTGAGTGTCACCTCCCCTCAGTGGGGCCTTCCCTGTGCATCTAAGACACCCCCTCCCTCGCTCTCCTATTTAACCTCATCACACCCTGCCATTCTTTTGCGCACCTTTTTTCCTATTACGTATTGTTGTTTGTTTTTAAATGAACCTTTTTTATTTTGAGATCATTGTAGATTCACAGGCAATTGTAAAAAATAATGCAGAGAGAGCCTGCGTACCCTTTACCCAGTCTCCTCTCAGTGGTAAAATCTTGCAAAACTATATACAATATCACAACCAGGATATTGACAGTCAAAATGCAGAATAATTCCATCGCCACAAGGATCCCTCCTGTTGCCATTTTGTAGCCACACCCACTTTCCTCCTGCTCCCCTAGCCCTGGCAGCTACTAACCTGTTCCCATTCCCATAGTGTTGTACTTCAAGAACGTGATGTAAACATACACTATGTATGTCTGGGATTGGCTTTTTTCACTCAGCATAATTCTTAGTGAATTCACCCAAATTGTTGCATGTATTAACAATTTGTTCCTTTATATTTCTGAGTAATACTTCATGGTATGGTATGGAAGTAACACCATTTGTTGAATCATTAACCCATTGAAGGATATCAACATTATTTCTAATTTTTGGCGGTTATGCATAAAGCTGCTATGAATATTCATGTACAGGTTTTTGTGTGCACATAGTTTTCACCTCCTGGGATAAATACTTACAAGTGCAATTGCTGGGTCAAGTGGAAGTTACATGTTTAGTTCTTTAAGAAACTGCCAACGCAACAATGTGTGAGTTTCTCCACATCTTCGCCAGTTTCTGGTGCTGTTGTTGTTTTTTGTTTTGTTTTGTTTTGTTTAGCTAGTCCGACAGGTATGTGTTGCTATCTCCTCGTGTCTTTCGTTTGCATTTCCCTGATGACTAATGGTGTTGAACATCTTTTTATTGGCTTATTTGCCATCTCTGTATTCTCTTTGATGACATACTTGTTCATGTTTTTTGCCCATTTTCTAATTGGATTGTTTGTTTGTTTTTTACTCTTGAGTTTTGAGAGGTCTTTATTCGTCATAGATGCTGGTCCTTTGTTAGATAGGAAGTTTACAAATAGTTTCGCCCAGGTTATCTTTTCATCCTCTTAATAGGGTCTTTTGCAGAGCAAAAGTTTTTAATTTTGATGAAGTCCAGTTTATCAATTTTTCTTTTTATGTTTTTGGTGTCAAGCCTAGATCCCAAAGATTTTTATCCTATGTTTTTTCCTAAACATTTTATAGTTTTACATTTTATATTTAAGCCCATGAACCATTTTAAGTTAATTTTTTAATAAGGTGGGAGGTTTAGATCAAGGTTGATTTTTTTTTTTTTTTGGCCTGTTGTTGTTGTTAGGTGCTGTTGAGTCAGTTCCAACTTATAGTGAACCTATATGCAACATATAGGGTTGCTATGAGTCATAATCGACTCAATGGCAACGGGTTCATGTGCAACAGAATGAAACACTGCTTGGTCCTGCACCATCCTCACAATCGTTGCTGTGTTTGAGTCTATTGCTGCAGCCACTGGGTCAATGCATATCGTCAAGGGTCTTCCTCTCTTTCACTCACGCTCTATGTTACCAAGCATAATGTCCTTCTCCGGGGACTGGTCCCTGCTGATAACATGTCCAAAGTACCTGAGACGAAGTCTCATCCTTGCCATCCTCGCTTCCAAGGAACTCTCTGGCTGTACTTCTTCCAAGACAGATCTGCTGGTTTTTCTGGCAGTCCGTGGTATATTCAATATTTTCTGCCAACACCGTAATTCAAAGGCATCAATTCTTCTTCAGTCTTCCTTATTCATTGTCCAGCTTTCAAATGCACATGAGGCAATCAAAAATATCAAGGCTTGGTCAGATGCACCTTAGTCCTCACAGTGACATCTTTGCTTTTCAATACTTTAAAGAGGGCTTTTGCAGCAGACCTGCCCAGTGCAATAGGTTGTTCGATTTCTTGACTGCTGCTTCCATGGACATTGATTGTGGAGCCAAGTAAAATGAAATCCTTGACAACTTCAGTCTTTTCTCCATTGATCATGATGTTACTTACTGGTCCAGTTGTGAGGATT